AAAATACAAAACCAAAAATCTTGGCGCGACGAAATATTTCATCACATAAAGTACCTTCACGCATCGAAGATTAATTTTCGTCGCGCAAACTCTATTGTCACGAGCTTTGTGCGATGAACCATGCACGACAAAAGTTTCGTCTTGCAAGGTTTTGAATGACGAAATCATACTTTGCGCAACAAACTTATTTCGTTGAGAAAAATGTTTTTTTGTAGTAGTGAGGGTTTTGCGAAAATGAATTAAAATTTGAGAGAATATTAGTGTAATGTCTCAAACGTAAGAGCAAGGCCGACCCAGCCATAGTGCAGGTAGGGCAACCATCTGAGTCCCAAAAAAATTAGGGGAACCAAAATTATTAGTGTGGCATATTTATATGCGTTTTCATAAGAGTAGAAATTTAATTAGAACCAATGATTTTGTTGTTTGAAATTAATGAGGAGTTCTTGGGTTCAAAACACCATGTGTTCTCAATTTTTACACATTTCTTTTCATAACAGTTCAAATTTATAAAATTTGGCTAAATGATTAGAAGTTTAATTAGAAGCAATGGTTTTTTGTAATTTAAAATTAACTAGAGATCCTAAGTTCGAAATGCTATGTGCATGTTTATTTTTTTCAATTTTTATGAATTTTTGTTTGGTTGTTAATTTATTTTTAATTACTAGCTAGTAACTATGTGGGTTGCTATTTTTAAACGTTCGTTCCAATTCAAGTCTACGCTTCAATAAGGCGTAATGTGACACACCCCAACTCAAAATGTCCACTAGGACTCCGAATTGAGTTGTGATGGCCGACACCTGGAAGGTGACGAAGTCAATATATACTGTCTAAAAACTAACGGTGTTAGGGGTACCGTTAGCGTGCCAGACACGTCTGCATGTATGGCCGTGCCTTGGCCGGCGCGTGGGGGCGCGTGGGACGTCGAAAAATTATTCTAAAAATATAGGGATGCTCAGGGTGTTGAGTAGGCCACGATAGTATATTAAAACACCCCAATTGAGCAACATATAAGAAGTTATTTCATAGTGATGGTTATGTGCTTTAAAATAACGTTAAAATAGTTGTTTCATATATAGGTGAGACGTTTCCAGAGGACGAGCACAGCCAGGCGAGACTTGGGGTTTACAACCCAGCTACATACCAATAAGTGAGCTTTTTGGTTACACACACACACACACACACACATATATATATATGCCTTATGTTTCCCATAAACTGTTTAAATGGTTTTACGTTTTAAATACCATGTCGTATGCATTACATATTAGTATATGTTATAATATAGCTGTGCATATTATTGCTCGACGCCATGGATGCTCAGGTAAGCTTCAGGTGAATATATAGTGATGGTTGTGATGGTAGTGTGTATGATTATGATGAGTTGCTTTCAGTGATTTATATCATGCACCCCGGTGTTAGTGCTCCGCCCAAGAGTAAGGCCTAGCCTTCACGTGATCATGCACCTCCGGCACCATACGCTCACCTTGGATCCAAGGTAAGTGCCAGCCTATCGTACATATCACATTAGGTGGTTCCGACTCACAGGTGACTTGCGATACTTCGTACAGCCTTCACGTGATCGTAGCACTTATGCGTACTTATTTACACCTAGCCTGTCATACAGACCACATAGCTGGTTCCAACTCGTGTGCAAGATTTGATTTGATTGTTAAGTTATTGATTCAGTTGTACAGGTTACGTTATGTGACTCTGGCTGATATGTCACTTTATATTAGTGCAATTCACCTGGCTTACTTATTCATGGTTGAGATGATTGTCATGACATACACATGGTTTAGTTATTCTTGTTTTCATATATGTTTACAGTATTATTTTCTGGGAAACTTATACGGGTTTTACAGCGAAGGGTTAGTACATTTGAAAAGATAAATGGTTTTGAAAGTTTTGTTTTTACCCACTGATACTTTCTGTTTTGCGCCCCTCCAGGTTCTAAATAGAAGTTTGTGTCGATGGCTCACGAGGACTTCACGACGGTTCTGACAGACATCCACTAGTGTAGGGTTTCTTTTATGATCTGTATAATTATTACTTAGTCTTCTGGACTGCACTTTGATACCTATGCTCTGTTTGTGCGTGTCTTTACTTTAATCACTTTCACTTATACTTATAGGTTAGTCTAAGGTAAGATAACTAGTGGTTTTTATTTATTCGCATTTTCACATCGTTACCACTCCCGCACAGCGCACATGGTTACATCACCTTCACGTGACGACCAGCATGCCTCGATTGAGGTCAGGGTGTGTCAGTATTGTTAGATCCCACATCGCCCAGGGGAGAAGATCCTCTATGCCTTATATGTACATGCCTACCTTCATATGGCACGAGGCCTTTTGGGAGCTCATTGGCTTCGGAGTTCATCAGAACTCCAAAGTTAAGCGAGTTCGCGCGAGAGTAATCCTAGGATGGGTGACCCACTGGGAAGTTCTCGTATAATTTCCCAGAAACAAAACCGTAAGAGTGTGGTCAGGGCCCAAAGCAAACAATATCGTGCTAAGGCAGAGTCGAGCTTGGGATATGGTGGAGCCCAAGTCGGGATGTGACAATTTGGTATCAAAGCCAATCCCTGGCTGGAAGTGTGCCATCGAGGACGTTGGGCCCCTAAGGGGGTGGATTGTTAAATCCCACATCGCCCAATGTAGAGGATCTTCTTTGCCTTATATGTACATACCTACCTTTATATAGCACGAGACTTTTTGGGAGCTCACTAGCTTCAGAGTTCATCGGAATGCCAAAGTTAAGGGAGTTTGCATGAGAGCAATCCCAAGATGGGTGACCCACTGGGGAGTTCTCGTATGAGTTCCCAGAAACAAAACCGTGAGGTCGTGGTCGGGGCCCAAAGAGGACAATATCGTGCTACGACGGAGTCGAGCCTAGGATGTGGTGGAGCCTGGGTCAGGATGTGACATAATGCGTAGACTAAAATTTTAGACCAAATTTGCAAATCATATGACGTGTCATCAAAAGGTTTCATTTAGTGCGCATTCATTACTTATACATATCCTTAAAGACTCGAAAATATCATTATTTTTTTAGTCTTATATTGACGAGGTTAGTAAATAAGAAAAAACACCTCACGATATATACAAAAACACTTTAAAAGTTCAAATGGAAGACAAAACTCATAATCTATCTATTTGTAAACCTGAAGTTTTCTTGTTTCCTTATGTCGATACAAAATAAATTAGTTTTTCCGTGTTTCTAATGTGACATCCCACATCGCCCAGGGAAGTGATCCTTAAATGTATATTCCCATCCCTACCTAGCACGAGGCCTTTTGGGAGCTCACTGGCTTCGGGTTCCATAGGAACTCCGAAGTTAAGCGAGTAGCGCGCGAGAGCATTCCCAGGATGGGTGACCCATCGGGAAGTTCTCGTGTGAGTTCCCAGAAACAAAACCATGAGGGCGTGGTCGGGGCCTAAAGCGGACAATATCGTGCTACGGTGGTGGAGCGGGCCCGAGTTGTGGTGAAGGCCCGGGCCGGGATGTGACATTGGTATCAGAGCCTATCCCTGGCCGGAAATGTGCCGACGAGGACGTCGGGCCCCTAAGGGGGGTGGATTGTGACATCCCACATCGCCCAGGGAAGTGATCCTTAAATGTATATTCCAATCCCTACCTAGCACGAGGCCTTTTGGGAGCTCACTGGCTTCGGGTTCCATAGGAACTCCGAAGTTAAGCGAGTAGTGCGCGAGAGCATTCCCAGGATGGGTGACCCATCGGGAAGTTCTCGTGTGAGTTCCCAGAAACAAAACCGTGAGGGCGTGGTCGGGGCCCAAAGCGGACAATATCGTGTTACGGTGGTGGAGCAGGCCCGGGTTGTGGTGGGGGCCCGGGCCGGGATGTGACATCTAAATTACTGAGTTTGAAGTGCTTCTTTAAATATAATTGTATCGATGTCTTACATATAAAAACAAATAATTTTTTTATATGAAGTGAGGGCACATTTTTTAGCGTCGTCCTGGACCTCAAAAATCTCTAGACCGGCCCTATGTAAGAGGTTTGTCTAAACTCGATAAACCTAAGGAACGTTAGTGTAATTAATTCCAAAATAATTAGCTAAACATCTAGCAAATTGACTATGTCAATTTTTGCCTTATATGTGTACAGTGGTAAGGTAAAACCGTAAAACACCGGACTGTGTATTGTTCGTCCGATCTCTGTACTACTGCACACTTCCATTTCATCTCTTGGCTGTCTATTTTGTAGTGTCGTCATCATGTCATCCATCACCGCTGGATGCGCCAAAGCGACTTGGACAACCGCAGGCCACGTCAAAACGACTTTGGCAGTATATCTCTTATTTTGCCCAAATGCATGCCGTGCCGTGCCGTGCCGTGCGGTACATGTCTTTTCCATTTTCCTAGTTGTTTCTTTTTCTTGTTTGAGAGTGCTGTGCACCACCATGGTCCATGCCATATTAACAAAACTAAATGACAATTCCCGAACCCCAGATTAAAGAAAAATATATCATCAATAAAGAAAAAATGGTTTTGTCCAAAAAATAAAAATAAAAATAAAAATGTGTATTTTTTTTTTAAATTCAAACGGTAGCAGTCGACATGAGTTTAACTAACTTGCTTAAAATCACTTAGTACTATAGTTTAGTGATCTTCCTCTTTACTTGTAACGAGAGATATAGGTTCAATTCTCATTAAAAATAAATTCAAACCAAATTATTATGGCTAGCCCACGATGGGGCTTAGCACACTCACCCACCATTAGCCTCACAATGGGCTAGCAATCATGTAACTTAAATTCGTCTTTGACGAGAGTCGAACTTAAGACCCTCACTTACGAGTGAAGAGACCGTAATACTAAGTGGTGTGTACAATTTTTTTAAATAATGGTTTTTAATTTTTTTTTTTTTTAATTTTTTTATTCATTCAATCACTTGTATAATTTCCTATGGTTGCACTGTAACTTACCAAAATGCTAATTTCCCAGTTTAGTTTTAACCTTTGTACGACATATTACGAGCCCCGATGTACTATCAGAGACTCATTAGATACCCAAACAACGTGTAAATACCCGAAGTAAATGCAAGGGATAGCGCCCTCACTCATTTCAACACCCCAACAGAAGCAAAATTTAGAGAGAAGCAAATCCTAGAGAAAGAGAGAGATGGAAGGGATGGATCACGGCCATGGCATGGGTGGTATGGCACCACCACCACCACCATCATCCATGACGAACGGTACGATGATGCACCATACGATGATGATGCACATGACCTTCTTTTGGGGCACAAAGGCGGAAGTACTCTTCTCCAAATGGCCAGGCACAAACACCGGCATGTATTACGTAGCCATATTCTTTATCTTTACCCTAGCTGTCCTCGTCGAGTGGCTCTCCCACTGCCGTCTGATCAGGCCCGGCGCAAGTGACGTCATTTCTGGACTGGCACAGACTTTTTTGCATGCAATTAGGGTTGGGTTGGCTTATTTGGTGATGTTGGCCGTCATGTCGTTTAATACGGGGGTGTTTCTTGTGGCGGTGGCTGGGCATACTGTTGGGTTCTTGCTTTTTGGGAGTACGGTTTTTAAGAAGAAGCCGGATGTTGATGATAAGGGTTCTGATCTTCCTCCAATGAGATGTTGATTATATGTAAATTTTAAATTTTATTTATGGAATGAATTAGGACATTTTGGTTTTTTAGTTTGGTGAAGCATCTAATGCTCAGATGGCTGAGGCGGTGGCTCAGGAGGTTGTTCGTATGATTAATCGAAGAATGTTTATTGATGCGCTGGAAGGTATTTTGCACGATATATGGCACCTTGCAAGTGTTATGGAATCGGAGGAGTATGTGTTTTCTCATCGAGTAACAAACAGAGCAGCACACACTGTTGCAGCTTTCATGCAATCTGTAGGGAGAACTTTTATTTGGAATTGTATTAGTCCCGATTTTCTTTTTAATATTCTTATTAAGGATGTGAACTTATCAATTAAACTTGATTGAATAAAATTTATCGTTTCAAGAAAAAAAATAAAAATTCATCGTCAGATTCAGATTTTTTTCGCTGAATTATCTCTATTTTTTTTTGTCAAAGAATCTGAAAAGGGTATTAAATATTTCCTTTAGTTAGGTTTTATATGTGTGGTTGTGAAGTGCGAAGTTGATCTTTTCCAGTCATCTGCCCAGAAACAGCAAGTCAAGTCATGCATCAATTAATGATCCAACTTCATTAGCTGTGTTTTTAATTTTATTTTGTACGAGAAGTAAAAATAAGGATTAAGATTTTAAAATTGTATCAATTTATATTTTTTATTTACGAATTATTTGAACTTTCGTTAAATGGAGGGTAAATTTCGAAACCCGCTCTCAATCTTACACTTTCCAAATCAGTGCACCTCTCATGCAAGTCTAGACTTAATTCCAAAAGTTATATTACACTACACAAAGGTCTTAGATCTTGGTCCAACTCAATACACAATTATACATAATTTCCCCCAATAATCCCCCAATAATCATAACAAAAGTTAAGCATTCTTCTATGCAACTGGCCTTTCCCTATTTCTTTGCTTACTAGAACCACGTAGCTTGTCTTTTGTCCTGATTTTTGTTTTACAACGAAATGACAGACTCTAAACCTGGAGTAATTTTTCGGTGTACCCGGTACACCAAAAAAATTTGGTGTACCCTCACTCATAATGGTGAGGGTACACCAAAAAAATTTGGTGCACCCTCACTTTTTGTACACCAAAAAAATTCTAATGAGTGAGGGTACACCAAAAAAATTTGGTGTACCCGGTACACCTAAAATTTTTTCCTAAACCTGTTATATAGCATCTAAAGAGAAGCTGTAAAATTATTAAAATTTTATTTTAAAAAGTCAATTCTAAAAATCTCATCTCCCACGTACAAGTGTCACTATCAAACAAATACCCTTTAAGTTTACAACGCAACTGCTCATAAGTTAAATATAAAAAATTTAATAAAATTGAAGGACGGACCCGTATACCAAGGAGAAAAGGAAGAGAGAATATGGTTTTAGAAAATGAGTAAGTTGATTTTTTATTTTGAAATGATTGATATAAATATTCAAAATTTGTTAAAATAAAAAGTGTTCGAGATAAAAAGTCAAAGAGACTAGTAAAAGTAGTTATTTGATACTCTTCACCCACTAAAATAACAAAAAATTAACAAAACTGTTGGAGATGCTTTTAGGATTCATGGGCTAACATTTCTTGCTATGTGGGCTTTGCTTAATAATGCAGCAATAGGTCTGGGCATATTTATTTTCTTTATTTTTCTTCGCCCTTCTCTCTAATGTTGGGCCTATCGTTCGGCTGCCGTCTAGGATTGGGGGGAGACTGGAAAAACAAGCAGAATTGAACCTCCAACTAAATACCATGAAGTCCAAAAACTCAAAAATCCGAATGACTGGGAAAAAGTTCGATCGTTCCAACTTATAGTAGGCAGAAAGTTTGGTGCCGTGACATAATACAAGGGCGTTGTTAAGTACTCAAAATATATTATTATGCACTCTAAACAATTATATTTGGTTGCAAGAATGATTGACGACGTATTGTTTATGTATTGAAGGCATAACAATGAACGATAATATAATGACGACATAATAAACGCTTATCATTTATACAACCAAATATCAAAAACAAATTATTCATTCTAATTCTTCAAAATATAAAGAGAAATTTGCATTTTAAAAAAAAAAAAAAGTGTGGAATGACTTCAAAGTGTCAATGGATAAACATAAAGTAATGCTTTTATATCATGAAGTGGTGAACAGGACTTGAAGAAAGACGATCTCAAATGAGGGGGGATAACGGTGGAGATAAAATATATCAAAGGCTTGTCATAATTGTCATTATTATTCATTTCCATTATTAAGTAACTAGGTTACTTACATGCATGATTCAAACAGTCTGATAATGTAGCATGACTTTCTTATCCATACATTTGTTGTAGCATGACTTGAAGGACTAATGCCTTATCAAACATTTGTTGTTTTTCTTTTTTTTTTTCAAACATTTTCTTTTCTATATCATACATTTGTTTCATTGAAGTGTGGTTGGTGTGCGTTCAAATGGGTCATTCTTGAGATTGTCATAATTTGAAATTTTTTAATTTAAATTTAATAAAAAAATAAATCTAAATTACTTAAATTACTTCAAAAGAAGTTAACCGAAAGACAAAAAAAAAAAAAAAAAAAAAAAAAAAAAAAAAAACTAATATTGTTACCTGACATTTTTTTTTTTGGCCTAAATTGTACACTTGTGGATTGAAGTTCTTTTAAAATGATTGAAAACACTTTTAGTAAAAGTGTTTTTGGGCTACGAAAGCACTTGAAGTACATTTTGGAAGAAGCACCAATTATGTGAACAAAATTGAGGTTTCACCATAAAATCAATTGGTAATATGGGAAGTGGCACAATTTCTTATAAGCATACGCAACGTCTCTCCTTTCCTCGATGTAGGATTGACACTCTTGACATTATGACACGCCCCAACCCCAATATCCCCAAATACTAGGGTAAGCACGTGCTAGCCGACACCTAAGGGTGATGAAGCCATTAAAAACATGTATACCAATAAAATATTTAATTAGAAAGATATAAACCAATGCAAAATCATGTTCAGATCATACAATTACTAAGAATAATAAGGAAGAATTACTAAGAAAAATATGAACAAGGAAATGACACCTATACTGAGAAGACTCAAGGATAACTAAGCCGAAGTGCCCTGACGCCAGGATCATGTGCCTCAATCCTAACTCCTGAGGGGGCGCAAAACCAGAAAAGGTGAGTGGACCAAAGTTTATAATAATAATACTAATAATAAGAAAACCAGTTTATTTTATGAACATAATAATCCCTTATTTTGAAAACATATATAATACTACATATAGGTTTTATAAAAACCCTAGCATGCCATGCAAAACCTTCGTAAAACATGTACGTGTAAAACCATGCTCAATAATGTTGAAAACGTCCCCCGAAGGCAAATCTATAAATCTCATCAGTGAAATACTTAACTCGGGGTATCATAATTGCTTGAATGCAGTACATGTCCATCACCCGAAGGTGAAGCTGTATAACCTGTCCATCACCCGTAGGTGAAGCTATATATCATGTCCATCACCTGACGATGAAGCTGTATAAAATAGTATACATCCACACCAACACTAGCCGTGGCTAGTGAAGCTGTCCACACTGATTTCAACAGTGAATCTGGGGGTATATAATATATCATATCTCACTCCTCCATCATCTGTGTCCTATGGCCACAGACATAATACCCATGATGCGCAAATGTGCCGTATGATAACCCACCAGATAAGTACCAAAACATATCCCGAAATCTCAAGCCAAATCACCAAAGCTCAAGGGTTCAAAATCTCATTTCATCATTCATATATAAAAGATATTCGTAAATCCAAGGAGTTTCATATATTCAATTCCAATAATTCATAACCATTATTAAATGTAAATTCGATAAATTATAAATATTCCGTAAAGCAATTAAACCATGAATTCTATATAAACCATAATTATAGAAATCGGGAAAACATAATATAAAACGTATTAAATGCACAAAATATGAAATGCATGCTAGGCTAATATTTTATAAAAAATATATAAGTTATGAAGGGGTCAACTCACAAGTTTTCCATTGCCCGGAAGCCGCACGGACTATCGAGGATGTAATCATTTCCCGCAAACGCACCTAAACACAAATAGGGATGTTTTAGTAAAACTATACTAAAACGTTACAATTTGGGAAAACAGATGGCAGATTCGGATTTGGCACGTTGAGGAACCTTGGGTTTTTCCTCCATGCATCGTCGCGTGCGACGGTTGGCCGCCCTGACTTGCTGGAAAATCCAAGAACTCCAAAAATTCTCAAATTTTACATGAATGAAGCTCTCGATGAAAGGAACAACTTCCATACCTGCAGCCAAAGCCAATTTGGCTAGAAAAATCTCCAATTTCACTAAAACCTGTCGGAACCCTAGATTTGGGTGTGCTTTGATTCGACCTCCATACTTGCTTTGACGCCTCAACCAATGCATTGGCTAAGTTTCCTTCAAGAATGGCAAATTGCTGCCATGAGACCCGTCCCACCCACAGGTGCTGTTCTCCACGAAATGAAACAAATCTCATCAGGTTTGGGGTGGAATTCATAGCAAGGATGTCGTGGTGATGTTTTCTGGTGATGGTTGGGCGTGAAAAGCTAGGAAAACGCCATGAAAGGCATCAGAAAAGCTACGAAACACCGGGTGAGACAGGATGGCGACATAGAAACTGGTCTGGGGTCCGATTAGATTGACAAGATAACATACCACGCAAACTTTTATTCATGTAAAATCAAATAGTAATGCAGATAGATGTTCGTTGATATATGTACCATTTTGTGTAGAGAAGCCAGAAGCATTAGGTCAACGTAGGTCGCCAACTCTGTCAAAGTGAACTTTCAAGGCGTGGACTACCTTTGCGGGTATAAGAACCTAGGAACATCCTATTCGTTGACAATAAAAACATTAGTCTAAACTAGGCATATGTAGTAAATTCTCTTTCAATGTATAAATGAAAACTAACAAATATGTATTTACTATATAAAAGAAAAGATTCATTCACCTGAAGTCCGCGTTACAACTTCCTAGCACAAATATGGAGGCGTCACGAACGATCGTCGCCTAGAACAAATATCGTCTCAGAATTCTTATCGATAGAACATGTAACTTACATAAAACACATCCTCAAGGACGTTCTAGAATGATTTGTAACCCATTGAACAAAAGTCAACCGTCGGTCAAAGGTCAACGGTAGGGTCTAAAACCCTACGTAACTCGATCTCGAAGATCTGCACCTCATATTTCTGATCTGTAACTTTCCAAAAGTTTCAATAAGCTTCTAGAATAACATCCTAAAGTTTCAGAACGATCCAACAGTCGGATCTCTGTCAATCAATAAAATTAAGTGGCGGCCGACGTTTAGATTTACAATCTTAGAAAACCCATCTAGGAAGATCCGTACGT